TAATATGCGTATGGATCTATTTATATATTGACATCAGTATCGACAGGAATTTCACAAACAGAAAATCAATTTTCCGCTAGAGAGAGAGAAAGAGAGAGAGAGAGAGAGAGAGAGAGAAATGTTAGGGACTAAGGATTTTAGGTTAACTTGCAACACGTCAATCGACATGGCGATTCGAGTATTTTTCTCGAGAGTTTCTTCGCTTATTTTTCTTTTTTCTTTCTAAATCGTCACTGAACATCCTCGTTAAATTCTACTCGTGCAATTGCGTCTAGCGCGACGTACGTTGAGCAATGTGCGATAGATTGATCGTTGAATCGCTTGCAGAGGATCCTCCATCGACGACCAGGCTGCTATCATGGAGGACATCGATGCAACACCTCGTAGGAACCGACATAATTCGCTCTTTAACCCTAAAGAAATTCGACAGAGGTCTTCTCTGTCTGACTAACAACTTTACTTGTGCATTCACGTGTTCATCGATGATAATGCAATTTTAATATTCGGAGACTATACACTTATGCTCGGTTAAATTGAAACGGATCATCTCCACTCTTCCCCGACTAATCCACTGATACTATTTTCATAAAGATAGGATGAAAATTAGAGAAATTGAAATGTTTTATATTGGATGATTCATTGCAATGTAGACAGTAGTTCTATAAATTGTACTCAACGTATTATGTTAAATATTATGCTTAAAGCACTTATCGAGCTGTTCGAGAGCCAATTACTGAAATTAAAACGCTACATTGCTCGCGATAATCGAAATGAGCGGAACAGGTTTTCCTTCTTTTCACTTTAACCGAGCACCAGTGTAGTATTACGTCTTATAGATAACGCATAAAATTCCCATCAAACACACTGTAGTGTCCAGCCATCGAACGAGCAATCTACTTTACCGACCGCGATCTAGTCGCTCGAAGTCACTCGGGTTTCCTTCACCACACTGTTCCAAACACACTGTCGTCCAACATAACCCCGATCTCCAACAAGCATAAATTCGACGTTTCTCCGTATCCCCGTGAGCTGCATGTTCGAACAACCTCTTCGAGCGTATTAATTTTAATAAGTGTGAATCCATGTTCGTCATGTACAGGGGTTATGGCAAATGCTGATGAGAAGAGGTGCCATCCTCTTCCACGGGATCTTACCTATTAACAATATACATAAATATACACTAGGGAGGCCGAGGATTCACCAATTACCAAAATCAACGTTGCCAGCAGACACGAAGGGAGAATAATATGAAGAAGAAGAGAAAGACAAAATAATCATTACTCTCCCCGTTACCACTGCCTCTTCAAACAACCTCCACTTCGACCGTCATGGCTACAACTCTGGCTCTCCTCGTCGAACGCAGTGCCCTCTTCGCACACGAACCGGAAGTCGAGCACCTGCCTCGAGGTGAAGCCAGGAGAGCAATAATGGAACAGTCTACAGTCCCTGTTATCCCCATAGAAACGATACATCTCCTTCTCCAGGCAATTGAAGCCATCCTGCCTCCTCAAGGTCGCTGATTTTCGTCTCAGCGATCTCATCGTGGTCGATACTATCTCTTCAGCCTCTTTGCTTGTGGTCTCCGCAACGATAGTCGTTTCAAAAGCTAGAGAAGTCGAAGGATACTCTGTCACATCCTCGATCCTCTTCGTGGTCGGTGCAATCGACGTCTCTTCCTCTGTAGCTGGCTTCATGGTGGTCGATGATGGTTCCTCCACGTTGTCAGTCTCGTTGAAAGTAGATAAAGCAGTTGTACTGACAATTTCTATATCCAACAGAGTGAAATTCTTAGGAGTGACCTGTTTCTCAGGCTCTACGCTGGTAGACTCAACTTCCTTCAGTGTCTTCTCAATAGTAGATGCAAGGGTGGTTAGTCTGGTTATGGGATAAGGCGTGAAACCTTCATCCTCTTCCTTTTTCACATTCGTAGGGGATTTCTGTTCACTTGGACTGGAGTCTTGATCGTCTTTGCCCTTCACCAGGATCTGATCCTTCTCTAATTTACCTTCTAATACATTTTCTTCACTCCTGCTAGTCTCAGTTGTAGTCAACGGCGACTCTGTGGTCGTCATTTCTGTTGTTTCAGTCGAATCCTCCTCTCTGTACCTTGTGGTAGCCATAGTGGTAGTCTGTTTACGTGCCAGCAATGTGAATTTCCTGATCACTGGCTTGGGTGCTAGTTCGTTGTACGATTTAGGTGGTTTTGCTGGCTTAGGATTCAACAGACTCAGCCTTGGTTTAATCACCACTGGATTTGGAGTCGTTGTTGGAGGGATGTAGTTGTAATTCTTCCTTGCTGCAATTGGTTTGAACAGCTTCAGAGGTGTTGGACGAGCAGTTGTTGTGCTAGTCGTGGTTGTTGATGTGGTTGTTTGGAGCAGGTCCATCTGATCTGTACTAAAATCATACGGACTCTCAGTTTCTTCGTCTGGACTCTTCTCAGGCTCTGTGGTGGTTTCTACACCGATGTTCTCCATTTTTCCATCAGAGAGCATTTCTTTGTTCGTTTTCTCGTCGCTTAGATTGTTAGAGTCTGAGGATTCTTGTTCTTTATAGTTGTCAGGCTCGTAATTGTCGTCCACGTAGTCGTGAGCAATATTTTCTACAGACTCTGAGGGTTTCTTGTTCTCTGACACGTCTTCTTTCTTGTCTTTGGGTAGTTCATCTGTGAACTTTAAGACTCCTTCAGTGCTCACTTCCTGATCACTCAAGGTTGACTCGTTCTCATTGTGCTCCTCTGTGGATTCTTCTCTGGAACTTGGAACTTCCTCTGAAGCGCTGTGCTCAGAAGAAACAGTCGCGTCTTCAGCACTTCCGTAATCATCCTCGGTATCAAGTTCGTCAGTATTCTCGTAGAATGATTCCGTGGAATCGTACAGTTCCTGGGAATTGAACTCCTCGCTCTTGATCGTCGAATACTCTTGGGATTCTCGTTCTTCTTCCTCTTCGTCGTCGATCTTCCTGCTCTTATCCTGTCTGTGAGAAGATACCTCCCTGGAAGAGTCCTCGAACTTCATACTCTTCTCTTTACGCGAACTTTTCACCACTTCGTGGCTGTCTTCTTGAGAATCATCGTTGCTGAAGACTGTGGTCGACTCATCTTCTACATTTTCATGTTCTATGGAGGACTCTTCCTTGTAATAGGTCTTTTCTTCCACCGAGACATTCTCTTTAGACGTTTCAGGGTGTTCTACTTTTTCAGTAACCTCTGGTTCCTCTGGTACTTCGATCCTTTCCTCCTCTTCGATTTGCTCTTCATCTAACGTTGGAATAGTTGTTTCTTCATTATCCTCTAGAAGCTTGTCAATCTTTTCTTCATCTTTTTCCAAAGTTTCAGCCTGTTTCTTCAAGATCTCGTACTCATTAGCTTCTCCTTTTCGGTTCTCCTTCCCTGAATCCTGATCCTTGCCAGTCTGATGACTCTTCACGTAGCCACTATGATTACCAACAGCTCTGGTATCTACTTCTTTAGAGGTCTGAGACTCTGGTTCGTCAAATATGTGCTTATCAATTTGTTCAACTTCAGAGATCACCACTGGTTCTGTGGTTGTTTCTACTTTTTGCTCAGGAACTTTTTCTTCTAGAGGTTTCACAGGTTCTTTATTTTTCGTTTCCTTCTTTCTGGAGGATATTTTCCCTCTGGAAGATCTTATCCTGGAACTTTTTCTTCTTGGGTTTTGTTCCTTAGGCTTCTCCTTTCGCTCTTCCTCTACAAGCTTCTCTTGATCACTTTCAGTCTTCTTAGGCTGTTTACTTTCTTCAATAGTGTCATCCTGATTTTTCGAAACGTTCAAGTCCTGTTTGTCTTCAGGATGACTGACTATTGTTGCCTCTGTGGTCTCTTCGGTTGTAGAAAGTATAGGAATCTCTGTAACAATTTCTTCTTCCTCAGTTGTACTTGAAAGACTCTCCTGACCTGCTGATTTCATTCTCAAGTACTCGTTGGGATCAAGAATCACCACATCAATGTCTCGTTCTGGATCTCTAGGCTTCTCTTCATTGTCTACCTTCAAATCTGGCTTGCTCTCTTCAATATCTTCTTTTTTCACATCATCTTCTTCTTCTTCTTCTTCTCCTCCTGTTCCTTCTTCTTCTTCTTCTTCTTCTTCTTCTTCTTCTTCCCCTTCTCCTCTCTCAATTTCACCAAATTCCTCTGCATCATCCTTCGAATCTGACACCGCTTCCTTCCCGTCATCGATATCAATGTATTCTTCAGCATCAGAAGCCTTAGTATCCAACTGCAGAGGAATCTCAAGCCCCTCCGACTGCTCCTCAGCATCGCTCTCCTTTTTCAACGCTTCCTCTTCAGTCTCATCGTCGTACTCCCTAGTTTTAAAATTCTTAGAAGCTTTCGTTTCCAGATCCTCCAACGAATCCTTCCTCAGACCCCTCACTTTACCATCAGGATCAGTCAGCTGCAGTCTGCTTCCCTCAAACACACTTCTAATCGTGTCCTCGGTGAACTCACCGCCAAATAGAATATCCCTGAACTTCATCAGGCTCTCTTTGATCGACTTGAATTCCTTGTTCCCCTCCTCGACGTTAACTTTATCCCTGTTTCTATCCTTCTTACCCCCTTTTATCTGTCCATCCTGCTTCTTCTTCGTATCTCCTCCGTAGACGAACGACACCATCGAACTCTTAGTTTGTCCTACAGACCTCTTCGGCCTCAGACCTGTTCTAGCTTCGCTGCTACTTCGTCTAGCTCCTCTGTTGTTTCTGATCTTGGGCACGTCTCTGTAGAAGGGATCAAAGGACTCGTCGCCTTCTTTATAATCGTCGTAGCTGGCAGGAATCGTGGGAAGAGGCAGAGTGACCAGCTGAGTGGTGTTCAATGGTCTACCCGACTCGTCACTCACGCTCGCTTTAGCTGTCACGATCACTCTGGATTGAGAAGGAAGTAAAGACGAAGGATTCTGGACTATTCTTTGAAGATCCGGTGGCGGTAGGTTGATCGTGATCTGATGAGGCTTCAACTGAGGGATTTGCACAGGAGGAAGCACGTGTATGTGCTGGGTGACCTGTTCACTGGTGGACTGCGAGCTCTGCGGAGATTTCGACGAGCTTCTCGGCGTTGGGTAGAAGGATCTGACGGTGGTCTCGTCGGTCGATGGTGTGGAGAGGAAGTTCCCTGAGATTCGTGGCTGCTGGGAACTCTGGCTGCTGGTCTTCGTCTGCACGGATCTCGATGGCTCTGGCGTTGGTACTGGGGATATCGTCAACTTCGAAACCTGAGAGTAAAATAAACGAACGTGACTATATTTTATATAACTGCACATACTGCTCTGTTCGAAAAGTTCTACATAATCAACCATCGAAATTCTGAAGAAACCTAGCCATAATCCTCGAATACGAAATGTCTTTTAACATTTCAGCTACTGTACGCCGCTATAGTGGCTTTCCTCCAAAATTCTAAGTAACATTTCGTTACGGAAAATCACTATAGTAGCTAATTTGTTTATCTCGCGCTGAAAGCCGTGTACATTGCTTGTGCTATGTGGAAACGTCTTCGTATGTCTCGATTCGCATTTTTCTTCTTCTTTTTTTATTTCTTGCGGTATTAACCCTTTTGTTACTATTGTACACTTCTACCTTAATTTCATACTTATTTCTATCCCTACGCACTTTCACTTAAATTTAGCAAACCGAATTTTGAAACGATACGGCCAAAATAGCAAATTCATTATTTTACAATTTTTCCAGATTTTACCTAAAATCTGCCGTAGCGAAAGGGTTGAGCTCGTTTACGCGCAGTCCGCTCTAGTTAAAATGTTAAAGAATCTGTAGCGATCAGCTGCAATACCCGGGGAAATAGCATTTGGCGTGCAGACGACCAGCACGGTTTATAACGTGCGCGCTTTAAAAGCTATTTTTCAGGAAACCGTTTTAGTTTATTTAATGTCTAGAAATCCGACAATGCATGTCCCCAGCATTTGGCGTGCAGACGACCAGCACGGTTTATGACGTGCGCGCTTGAAAAGCTATTTTTCAGGAAACCGTTTTAGTTTATTTAATGTCTAGAAATCCGACAATGCATGTCCGCGTAGAAACTTTCTTCGACGGCCTCAATAGTAAATTGCCGCGTCATAAACCAAGGGTTTCCGAAAGGTCCGCCGTACGAGGCCCAGAGGCCACGACCGGACACGTTACGAGTACCTGACCTGGAGGAAATTCCGCTGTGCTGCCAAATCCCCAATGTGGAATACACCCCTCCGCCAAGTCGCACCGCGGTCCCGGAAAAAGCGCGCCAGGCGCGCAAAGGACACGCAGCGACTTGTAAGGAAATTACCTAATTGACTAACATCGATGCGACGGGTTAGCCGATCAGGAAAGCTAACAAAGCGACAAAAGTTAGTTGGAAAAAGGCGAGACGACAGGAGGTGAGTCTAGCGCGAACCTCCAGAGCAAAGACTTGTATCAATAAAGACTTCACCGGACTACCGTGTGG